CGCTATCGAATTCATCGTGAGTAGTGATAAGTTAATGAAGATGGTGAATTTTAAGCTCGGTAATGAAATGTGAAGGCGAATTAATCAACATGACACGAACGTGGGACAAAGAAAAATTCTGAGTCTGCTCTTGTTTGCTGTTTATTCATAGCAGAGGCCCGGGTGTATCGTGCGTCCTACAGTTCGGCTTTAGGGCGGATCGTTATGACGGAGTTATCGCTCTACAAGACGCTCTGACGATGAGAAATATGTTATACTCCATGGCGGTCAAAACTCATTACATCAGCAGTACTGACGGTAAGGGAAAAAACACAAACTCTGTTCTACTCCTCCTACGATTTCCCAGTTCTTGTTTTGCTTGACTAGAATCGACTTTCCGTTTATCAAAGGCTCTAAGAGAAATTAGCCAGTGTCCATGAACGAAGAAAAGATGCGTTTTGAACTAGAAGAGTTGTTCTGCGGAGCGATATTTTGCGTTTGAGGTAAATATCCTGCACAGGGGGCAAGTATCGCCTGGGATAAATCTATTAATTACAGAAGAAATGGTTTTTAAGTGGGAGAAGATAATTATCACAATTTTATTTCAGAATATCAGCAGTTTTTCGCGAATATGAGAAAGCTTAGTTGCAAAGCTGCAGGTTTTCAAAAATAGAGAGATCTCTATGCCAACAGTTTCACTTTTTAACAATTTAATATCTGGAACTGATTAGACCAGATAAGACTCGTAGCTATTAAACGTAATATACATTATCACCTCTAGTTCCCAGTCACCCACCTGAAAACGTCACAGTTCGCAATACCAGCTCTCGAAGTATCAGCGTCACGTGGGACAGAATCCGGCCACACAGCTTATCGGGTGGAGCAATCCTTGGATACCGTCTAGCCTACTCTGACGAGGATGGCTCATCATGGAGTCTGGTGGTAGAAGGGAAGAAAAATACGCACGTAGAGTTAAAGCGTCTTCAGATTTACACCTTGTACTGTGTGAGAATTATGGGATACAACAGACGAGGAGATGGAAAAGCTTCATTCCCTGTTTGTACTTACACTGACAAAGATGGTAAGTCCCGCGATGTCGAGACATCTCGTAGGATTCAATCGAAAAATAAATTCATAGAGTTCAACAGACGGGTGACATGATAAGAAGTATTTTTACCTATCATACACCCTCCTTTAGAGTAAAGAAATGTGTGAAAAGAACAGTATTGGTTCCCAGGTGGACTTTGTTAAAATTCAACTTTTCGTGATAAATATTGGAACGAATGTGAAAATATTGAAGGGGCGCAGCCAGGATAAAACATGGTGAAAATCACAAAACGATTTTTTACCCGTCGAAGACGGTAGTTCAGGCACTCGAAAGCTTGTATTTTTTTTAATCGTTTCAGCCAGATATCGTTTTAAAATTTTTACCATTAGAACGAATGTTTTATTTTATTAGCTGAAATTTGATTATTTTTCTTCAATAGAACGCATTTCTTAATTCAAACTCTCACTTAGTTCCAGATGGTGCGCCTCCAAACGTGACTGCGCGGAATCTGAGTTCCACAGAGCTCCTTGTGGAATGGTACTCGTTGCCAGCAAAATACATCCATGGCGTTTTGGTCGGCTATCAGATGAATTTCACAAGGGATAAGACAAACGTCACTAAAGTACTAAACATTCGACCGAATGTCACAAACTATCACGTGACTGGACTAGAGAGGTACGCTCCTTACGTCATTTCTTTAGCAGCTGTCAATGAAGTGGGTGTTGGTGTGTTTAGTCATGACGTCATTGCATGGACTGACGAGGCTGGTAAGTTTTGTTTAGCCTTTGTTGTAAAGTTTTACCAACCACGTACCAATCAGATGCACTTTAACTGGTACATATTGAGTATTCTAGTAAACTGCTATTCTACTGGGCTTTTCTTAAAGAAAAATAACGTGATCGGAAGACCTTTTAGTTTCGATCAAATGGAACCCAAAAATTCTTTCGGCTAAGAATCTTTATCTTTAATATTGTCATACATTAAAAAAATCGTAAAGCAAAATTTGTTAACCCTGTTGGGGTTACAAAGCATGCGCGAAAGATTCCTTTCATCACTTCTATTATAACTTTAGTTTTTTTATGTTCAGTGCCTTTTTGTGTCACAGCCCAACATAAGAAATGGGCTGTTCATCACTTTGAACTTCGAATCGAGAAGTGCAGACTCGGCTAGCGATAAATAAAAAACGGATAACTAACTCGAAAACAAAACTTAACTGAGCTGAAAAATTAACTGCAACATATACATTAATACCGACGTCTGGGTAGGGTTAATCTGACAGTTGAGAATTGGTCAAGCTGACGCGTTTTTTAACTGATATCTGAGATCTGAGACGTAATATTTGATTACGAATACAGTAGTTGAGAAATGGACTGTAAATTTTAACTGATGGCTGAGCAATAGCCGAACAGTTATTTGATAACTGATATTCTAGTGGTCCATTCACATCCTCTGTTAAAACAAAATTCAGTTGACAAAATGCTGAGGGAACTCTGCGATGGATTGACATCACATCCAGTATCGATATTCCAGTAGCTAACTAGTATTGTTAGTGAGAGCGAGATTACCTCCGGAGGTAACAGGGGGCAGGGATAACTCTGGCCTGAGTGTAGAAATTCCAGCTCATCTACCGAATTATCAATTCCACAGCTCCTAGCAAACCTCCAAACATCTCACAGATATATTACACCAGTTCCACAAGTATTCGAGTGCACTGGGAACCAATCCCTCAGCAGTACGTTCACGGACGGTTGCTAGGATACCAGGTAGAGTACCGTCGGGTGGAGCCAAGCTTTCTAAACACTTGGAAAACTATCACTGTTGGCGCCAACGATCATGCAGCCACCATCACTGGCCTTAAAAAGAATGGAGCGTATTTCTTTCAAGTTGGAGCGTTCACAAGAAAGGGCAGGGGAACCTTAAGCAAAGCTTACATGATCAGGACAGATGAAGATGGTTCGTATCTAAATTGTTTGCCTATTAGTGTTGGTTTTTGGCTGTTGTTGCTGAAGTGCCTTTCTTTTTCTTTTCTTTTTCTCTTCTTCAATCACCAAGTCTTCTTGTTACGCATCGTTTGCTTGTCAATTTTTTAAGGCTGAATTTTGACCTGGAAATTTGAATTGGCAAATCAAGATTGCAACCAGAATTGGAAGTTTTCTTGGATTTTAGGAAGGTAGAAAAAAGATTGCTAAACAGAGACAAAAATTCAAACATAATTATTGAATTGTAATGGTATTACCATTTAATATTTGAACTACACTGAGGCATTCCCTAGCTAATATATTTTTGATTCTGACATTTTTGGAGTTTTGTTTCTCTCTTTTTTTTTTCCGATTTGCAATATTATTACAAGTAAATCGTAAGAAATCTCAAAGCATTAGCTTGCTAACGTAATAAAATATCAAGGCCCCTAAATGGATCTGTAGTATATTTCTGAGCTCGTGTGAAACTTAAAAATTCCGTTTTTAAATGTCTTTTGTCTCTACAGTCCCCTCTCAACCTCCTCAAAATGTCACCGTCGCCAAGGACAACTCTACATCAACGAGCCTGTTCATTCACTGGCGTCCAGTCCCCGCGAACCATCGAAATGGCATCATCCTGGGCTATCGAGTTTTATACAAAAGATCTCGGAGTCTGGACAAGCTTAAGTCAAGAAACGTTTCGAACGTATCGACTACGGTAGAACTAAAGAACTTGAGCAAGTACACAGAATATGATGTCACTGTTTTAGCTTATACTTCGAAAGGAAATGGGGTGCGGGCGAAGTTTTTCACGGTCTCCACCACGGAGGATCGTAAGTAAACATTTACAAACATTTTTCTGTAATTCGATGATACAACCAGCTCTGGACAATATCCGATGTTATTATATGGCAAGGTAGTCTTGAGGTAAATGCAAGCGTTGTGATTGGTTCGTCGGGATTTTGCCATATGGACCGTTTTCATGGAAACGGCCTCAGCCGTGTATATTTTTGTTTTCGAAAGCCGACAGAATTAATTCAAAACAAGCATGGCCCTAGTGTCGTAAAATAAATTATTTACTTAACTAACTTACTCGAGCCTTACTGAGGAATATTGGCCCCGAGTGTTTTGTACGGAACTCGCTGCGCTGGGTCAGTAATGTTGCGACCCCAAGCCAATATTCCCCTTTACGGCCCTCGCGTTCGATTAGTAAGAGGTTATTACTTTATTTAAGCTTTCTTATTGGCTCACAGTCCCGATTAACAGCAAATAGCTGGACGTTTACCAAGTATGAAAAGAACAAGAAAATGGATGAGTTATTTGCTTACAATTTTGTTCGTCCCGACAAATAACTCTTACAAGAGATAGCTACAAGTCCTACATCAACAAATATAAAGAGCATTAGCGTGTCTATCAGTAAAAGGCAATAAAAATACGAAAATCTGCTAATACACAAAGTTTTATACGAAACAGTGTATGCAAATGTCTTTAAACACAAAACAGAACGACGTCTCGATTGGATGAACATATAATTCCCAACTTAATGCACTCGCCATTATCGATGGTTTGCAACCAATCCTGAGAGCGCTAGATTTAAATGATAAAGGCCTGACGGCCATGTTGGATGATACAAANGAATTTCTGTCGAATTTAATTCGTTGAATTGAATTCGACACGGCAGAAATACGACGTATGAACTGGGCCTTAGATTGGTGAACATGTTTGTACACTTTTATTAGAGACAGAACGCACCAAAATTTACTAAAGTTTGTCTCAAGTAGAGCCCGGATTTTGTTTTAACACGAACTTGTGCAAGTGCTGTTTATGCTAATATTATTATATATTAGCATAATTAATCAACTTACAAGAAAGAAACTATTCTGAGGTCCATACTTTTCTCAATGTAGTATATTCGCGCTCTGAGCATTAATCTATCAAAGCACGTGTTCACACCAAGCGTCGTCATAAGTCAGATATGCACTTGCCTTAATTATGTTCCCCCGGACCAGAGGCCCGTTTCTCGAAAGCCCCGGAAACTTTTCGGGCCCGCAAAGCCATTTTTAGTTAATCGGTATTTAAAGACAGCGAGGTGCATACACCTGAAACTTCTTGTATGAAGAGAACCTCAATATTAAGAATATGTGAATAAAACAGCTCTGAAGTTGTAAGGTTTGAGATTTTGCTACGGCTTTTCGGGTGCGAAAACTTTTCGGAACCTTCGAGAAACAGGCCCCAGGCCGTAAGACGAGCAAAGACGTCAACATTCTATTCGCAATGAAATATTTCATTTGCAAAGTGTCGTCTGATTTTGCTTTGTACAGAAACCTGTAATTGCTACAGGAAAATTTACACAAATTATTGGCTGAACCCTCCGTATATGGCTAAAGATTGGGATGACAACGTCACGGGCATTTTTCCGCCAATTCTGCAACTTATCGTCCGCAGCTGCTGTGGGGAGTGTCGACAACACGGGTACGCGAGCATTGATTACCTCTCATCGAGGCTGAACGCGTCAGCTATGAAAAGCACTGAAAAGCAAGTCAGGGAAGCAATTGATGATATGACCGAGTTGAGCTTCCCTGTTTACGGTCGCATGGAGCAAACGGATTATTCTAATGAGTACGGTTTCGCGCCTTTAGTACAATCGGCTGGGGTAGCGTTCATCGTGGCTGGTGATGAACCAGGAGCTGCTGCTAAAATGGTGGTGAAAGCTGTGTTCGACTTGTGGCCTCTGATCGTAACTGTTTTCGTCTCGGCTTTCTTCTCTGGAATTATTATGTGGCTTTTGGTAAGTTTGTTAGTGTTGTTTACCTGTTGTTTCGTTTGGCCAATTATAAAGAACCTTGTGAATGGTGCAGGTCGCCTGGAGATTAGTCAGGAGTGTGCGCTCATTAAAGGGTAAAGGGGTTTCCTTCAAAGTAAAACCAGGATTGCTTTTAAATAACTCTAATTAAAGAAAGATTGGGTTAAAATTAAGCAGAAAAAACATATTGAAGTTCCAAAATGGGCGTTCAAAAACCAATAAATTTTACACTCATTCTTCGGTATACTAAATATTTTGATTTGAATGAAAAAGAAGAAAGTTTAAACTGATCATCATGAACGAATGGTCTTGTAATCGTGAAATTGTCGAGATTAAACGAAAACAACTTATATTTCAAGAAACAGCCGATTTATGTCTACATGTGTTATGTAGTAGCTAGGATTATAGAATTTTAAGATACAAAACCATTCAGTGTAAACTATCTTTTTGACATTTCAACAGGACTTCTTTTTCAATACCAATGAGTTCCCTTCTTCTCCCATGCGGGGACCGATTGAAGGAATGTGGTGGGCATTTGTTACTATGACAACCCTTGGGTGAGTGATGCAATCGATTGGTCCCAGTCAACAGTAATTATCATTCGATGCATTTTTCGGTTCCTTTTCATTGGCCGAGAGCCCACCACGTGACCAGCAAATAACGGCCAACAAATAATGGTCTGCTCATGCTTATTATCGTCTAAATGTGTTTTGCTGAAAATAGTATTCCGCTCATGCGCAATGGTGACCACTCCCTTGAGTGAAAAATGGCGGATCGTTTCCCTGAGCTGTCAGAGAATGATTTAGATATGAAAACAAACTTGGTGATCGAATGATAACAAAATTATTGAAACAGTTATTGTCTCGCAGATCAATTGCTTGCCTCAGCTTTCGGCTTTGACAAAAAACTGATCTCCTCGCCATTGACAAATCACGATATTTTGCTAATTGTTAATTAAAGAGGTTAAAGAGGCAAACTGATTGTAATCAAAGATTCCCCTATAAGGCTAGAGTTTTTTCTTCATCTGTTTCAGATATGGAGACCGTGTGCCTCGTGCTATACACTCCAAGTTGTTTGGCATTGTGTGGATCACATGTGGCCTCGTCATCATTGCGCTGGTGATGTCATTCATTACTACGTCATTGACGATGGATGTAATTAAGTCAGATATTCCCGTGTATGGCTCAAAAGTAAGTCGAGATAACAAAATTCCGCTTTGTAAGACAGACTGAATGTAAAGATGGCAGATCAGTACCATACGTTTTAAATACTGGCGCGCTTGAAATTTTTCTCTTTAGCATTGAATGCTGACAAAATAAAGGTGAAATCGAGAGAAAAACTGACGTATTTAATTTTTTTGTGATACTTTAATCTCCCCTTTTACTACACTTTATTTATATTTTGTCTTGTCCATTCCTTGCCTGTAATTCAAAGGTTTCAGCCATTGACGATTCAGTGGAATTTCGTCTTGGAATTCGACTTAATGCCCAAATGGATCGAGGTATTACTTAGTAATTAATGCTAGGGAGATACTCATTTCTGTCCGCTCCGTAGGACGCTGGGCAGTCATTGAATGTCCAACAGTATCCCCCGTGCTCGTAGTAGCTTCCATTATATTTGTTTGAAAAATTAAATCAGCGGTTTTAGTTTAAAATCAAATAAATAAATAAATAAAAATAAGTTTGCTTTGTATACACATTCGCGAAAAGACTAACATATCTACTGAAAACTCTAGTCATGAAAAAATAAAGGACATTCTACTCAAGAAAGAATTTTATGGGAGGCAACTTCTTCTGTACTTTATAAAGCATAGAGCGGATTACAATACAGTGTCGCAAGTAATCATGATCAGGCAATTACTTTGGTTTCGGTTTTGGTTTCACTGCTGTTTGAGATTGGTTTAGGAGTCTAATTGGTAAGTAATTGGTTTGGTTTTGGTCTCACGACACTCAACTGAAAACCGCTCTGTTAGGTAACACTGAATTAAGGCAAGGTTGAAGCATCAGGCATGTTGTTATCTGTCCAAAATAACTTACTTATTTCGCTTCAGAGCGACGCTATACGACACTTGAAGACTTGGCCCAATCCCTTAAAGACCGACACGTGGACGGTGCACTTATAGACTCCTACACTGTGGGAAGTCGTATGGACTTATTCAGAGGCGGAAGTCTACGTATGAGCAAGATGATCGATTACCCCTCGGCATACGGGGTCGTCATGTCCGGGTATGCTAGAAAGCTGCAAAAATGCTTCCGAGAATTCCTCAAGGAGGAACGGGCTTCTGTATTTGAGATCATCACCAACAATGTCCAAGGAATCACGGTAATTCAAATAAATAGTCGTGCTGTTGTGTTAATTTCTCTGTTTGATCGATCGTTATATTAACCATTGGATGTACACGAAAATTCTTGTACCAGCCCTGGACAAGGGGGTAGCATAGATTGACCCCTCGGGGTATTTCGTTGTAACATGACCTTTGGCTTGACCTGCATGTCAAAATGCGGTTACTATGGCAATATGAAATAACGCTGAGAAACCGTTGACACATCGAAATTTTCTTCAAAGGAAAAAATGAATGAACAGAAGAGATCTTTTTTTCGAAATTGAGAAGAAATCTCAAGGAGAGAACCCCCTTGTACGACCGTGAGTTGAACTGAATGACCATTGATAATAACCACGTGATGAAGTGTAAATAGCCCCCATCATTTTAGAGGTTTCAGTTGTATTGTGCTTGATTTGACATAAATTTGTATCCAGGTCTTAAATTACTCAACAGACTCTGCAAAGAGTTTCAACTGTACCGCGTGCATAGAATATATTGATAATTTGATCATCGGATTGGACTGTTTCAGGGATTGCAGAAAGACAACGCAGCTGAAAAGACAGAAGGTCTGTTTGATGCGGAGTCTACTGTCTACCTTCAGGCTGTGACGTGGTGCGGAGGTTCTTTAGCTATGCTAACAGCTGTTTGCCTCGTGTATGAAATACTCACGAGAAAGAAACGCAATCCAAACCCAAAACGATACGGTAAGATAGTTGTATGAACTCTCTCACTTTCACTTTAAAGGAGCACAGTCACGGCATTTAATTAATTTTGAGTTAGTTTGGCCACGTAGAAATTTGGCTTTAAATTGAAAGAAACCTACAAATATTCAGCTTATTACGATAGAAAACACTAAAGACGTAATAATAAACCATAAAGGAACAGGGATGGTTAAGGATGGAGAAGATTAATACGGATCGCAATCGACGAGCTTGAAAAATTTTGGCTTACCTCTTCCATATGCGCTAACCGTGACGAAGCTCTTTTAAAATAGAGACAAGTTAAAGTTAGCCTCCCTCACCTGAGATAAATTTGTCTTTTGTTTTCATGGTTGCCATTTTATAGCTGGAATACGTGGTAAGGAATACGTGCGAGGTCCGGAACCGAGGAATCTGCCACTGGAGTGTCAGCCCGTAATTTGTTGGTTCCAGATCTCGCGCCAGTGGATTGTGTATTCGAAATTCAAAATGGCGGCCACACTAAAAAGCCGAATAATTTATTGACTTTTTTTCCTTTATAATTCGGTTAATCTGCTCTCCTTTAAGACCTCTGTTTTGATTCGTTAATGTTAGTCTGCACCTATTTTGTACTTAGGACTAGGGAAATTGTTTTCGTTCTTTATCTATTGTTTTGTTGGTCAATTATAAAGAATCTTGAAAACTGTGCGGGTCTCACCCTAAACTTGATGTGAGATTCCCTGTGGCTTATCCCTCCAAAGTGACACAACACAAAAACAACAACAACAACAACAACAACAACAACAACAACAACAACAACAACAACAATCCTTTACTTAAACACAGCTCCTCGCCACCACCAAACCCCGAACGAATATAGGAGAACTGATAGGAAAAATACACATTTTCTGGAAGTATCTGCTCTTAAAAGAAAAATATCTTTTAAAAATGACAAAACCTGGTCATGAATGTTAATACATGTATTACCATCTTCCAGTGATTTAATGCATGAGTCGTTTTCTTTCTGTTTCTAAACTTCTAGAATACAGTGATTACCTGGAACATACCAGCAAACGAAATCCTCTTTATGAATACAACAACAGCAGGGAAACGATGAGGAAAATTCTCACAGACTTCCACAAGAACTGCCGCCTCAGGTTAGAAAGTCTTAAAGCAAAGCACCGACGAGAATTGCGACTCTTGGCGCGTTTGAAACAAGAACAAGCTGAAAAAGGACAGAGTGACGCCTTGAATGGAAATGCTCAAAGGAGTAGCTTCGGGTTTCCTATTCGAAGAAGCATTGTGAAATATGTTAATGGAGTTGTTCCATAACAACTGACAATTTTGAAATTTGCTCCAGAAACCTATCGTGCCGATAAATACAACTGTTGTAATTTTGACAGGGCTTTACCTTTCGGATTTGCATTTACTCAGAATATCACAATGGACCCATGACTGTTAAACCACAAAATTATATGTTTACCCCATTGAAAAAATAAACGCAATCGTATGAGAGCATTTGCTAGCAGTTAGTATCGCCATTCATACGGAATATTGATTGGTGTTGTACATTTCATTTTTAATGTGCGTTTCTGTGAGAATAACAGATAAATTGAATTGCTATACAATATTAAAAGTTTAGACAGCATGATCATTTAATTGATGAAACAATTGTTTTTCAAAAAAACAAAGTAAGAAAAAATACAAATAAACTTAATTGTACTTAAGGCCAAAAATTACTTTAATTAATTAAGAAGGTAACCAAGAAAACTATTAACTATTTAACTTGGATAGCCAAGCTTTAAGTAAAAAATCCAAATAACTTTACTCGTATTTTTATTACTAACCCTTGAAATTGAATAAGAATTGTTAGTGAACAGACTTTACAAATCTTGAGGCAGGGTTAAATCAGCTTAACGTCATTATAAAATGTACAGTGCTTTGTCTTAATAGATATCGATGTCGAGGTGATAGCGAAGTGGTTACGAATCAGAGTTAATGTTCGCGTCATAATGACGTCAAAGCATCTGCAAGAGTGTACAGATTATGAGCTCAAGATTTCTATCGCGTGATGGTTGCCGAGGGCGCAGCCCGAGTTTATTATCACACAGAGCAATCGAGAGCGAATTGTTTTAGTATATATCTACTAGTTGTTCAAACTTTATGTAAATCACCTTCAAAGACACTTTGTTGAACAGCCCAACATTGCTCGACTACTCACTATCTACGCAGAATAGATAGTGAGTAGCGTAGCAAATAAGAGAATGACATTCGTGATAGAACGTTAGAAGATTTATACTGACATGTTTTATTCATTTTTGGATAGTATTGTAGCACCTTACACGTGACGTAAAAAAAACTAATAGTATTCTTTTCAGAACCTAACACGAGTTTCAGTTTTGGGACCCAAAACTTTATACGCTCCTTGTGACGTCATTTTAACATAGGCTCTGATTGGTCAAAATATATAGTGACCAATGAAATTAACTGTGTCAGTGATCCTGTTGTGGACCATTTTGACAATTTTTCAACCAGGGATAGCAGAAAGCTAAAAATGTAGAATATAGTATATTATGTAAGGATTCCTGTTTCATGACTTTAGGTCTTAGTTATGATCTGATGATGGGTTACAAACGCATGAAGTAATATCAATTTATTATAAATTGAATACTATAATTGTTTCCGAGGAATGAAAAATTTGAAATTATATTAATGGCATGCTAAAAGGGCGTATACATTTTGCAAATATTTGAACTCTCAACTTCTATGATGTATTATATGTAAGAATCCAATTGCTATACAACTGCTGGTCAGACAATACCTTAATTCTAATCAATGCATGTTTTTATTTAAGTTCTAAGTTTCTGGTTTTTAAATTCTTTAAAAACCAGTAATAGTTGTATTTTCTTTTGTGTCATTTTGGTTATAGTAATCTGAAACAAAAGAAACTAAGAATTCAAAAAGCTTTACTAAGCTTCAAACTGAAAAAAATTCTTAGCTGTACAACAGTGACTGTCGTAACAGATAACTAATAAACTAAACTCTTATTTAAAAAAGTAATCTTGTAAAGGGTCGTTTTTGGGGCATTTGTAACTCCTAATGTGAAAGATGAATCATGCTTGAAATTTGGTTATTTTCTGTACAGTCCTCTAAAGAAAATACCCCAAATCGTGATCGTTACAATGCTGGCTCATTTCAAAAAAAAAAAACAACAACAACAACAACAATTAGCCTCGGCATTTTACGCTCATGTGGCTCGTCAACTCCTTATTCAAATCATTTTTCCATCTTAGCAAGTATTGATTGATTATTTTTTTGGTTTACTATCACCGTTTGATTGGCGGTTTTCCTGTTAAACTACTTTAAATATTGTTTGACAGGCACCTTTAACTGAAGATCATTCTATACATAGAAAAACAAATAAATAATAATAATAATATTTAATATTTCTAAGGCGCAAATTAACATGTGAATATGATCAAATGCGCCTAACAAACCATATGAGTAATATAAATTAAACGATATGCTATGAATAGTGTGATTAATTTAAAATTATTTACAATAATTATGTACATTAGGCTAAGGTAACGAGCTAAAATGCCAAGTCTGATTCGTAAGCATCGATTGCTGTTACCTAAAGCCGTGAGCTAATCATGGTAGATTGCAATGGTGATTTTCTTTCACTTTTTCCCCCTCATCCTGCCAGGGATGTAAGCAGCAAGACAAACCCTTTGTTCCTTTGCACTTTCAAGTATCTGGCTCGTGAATGACCCTCTTGAACAGATTTCAATATATCGGGGTGTCACAAATTGAAAATAAACAACAAGGAAGAGAACAAAACACTTCGTGCATCGACAGTGAACATGTTTATTTGCAAATAGAATGATGTACAAATATGCAGACGCTCTACGTCTTTTAAGCACGCGCAAACAGATAAATCTTGATATAAAGATAAATAGCCCTCCGTAAAAGAAAGCTTACTTTTAAGTCTACTCGGGAAATCAGACGTCGTTTTTCGAGAACGCTCGTGTGTACACCCAAATGTAAAAGATGGCATGTACTTTAAGGTGTCTCGTCGGCTTGTGGTCATGACGAATCACCACGTTACTTTGCAACATCCAGGCTGAACTTATCGCCAGAGATGGTTTTCCGCCAAAACGAAGTCCTTTTCCCCGACTGAAGTTTCATTTCTAAGAATTAACCCTACTTTAACAAAAGATTCAGCGACACTGAACCTGTTTACAATAGACGTTTTAGGTTCGCTTAGCAAAAACAAAACCAAGATAATCACATCTGTCCTCTCACCGCCAGCGCTAATAACGTAGTGAGCTGGTACCTGGAGAGGGAAAGTCACAACTTGTTTTGGTCTTGCTCCTAATAGATTCTTGTTCTGAGGCTACTTAGAGCATAGTGCACGATATACGTTCTTCACCGTCTACAGAGCTCTGCAATATTAATGCAAAATTGGACCAGCCAAAAGTTGCTATCCACCGTAAATCACAACCTGCTCTAAGCAGTAGATTCCACGATTGGGTGTCCAAGTTTAGTAACTCCTTGATCAGTTTCTTTTCTGCTCATAAACTGTATTCCTAATTCCTAATTCCTAAAACGTGTGCGAACACGTCACGATTGGTATTAATCACTTTCTGATTGGATGACAAACTGGCTGAAATTTTTGATTGGAGCCAATGGTTTAGCGTGGTAATGCAAAACCAAAGCAAACGTCGAATAATTTTTGACACTCAAGTGAAAACCGCCGTAAAGTGAAGCAATTTCCACAATCGCACACCATTTTTATTATACAGGTATCTATCGTCACCTAAGGAATGTCGTCTTTCAATCCAAAAATGAGAAGCTGTTATGAAAGACTGTTTACAACTCGCCATTCTATAAAACTTACATTCAATTAGCTCATTTAATCGTTGTCCATTCGTCAACAACCACTATCATAAAACGTTGTCCTGTTTAGTACCAAATACCTATAGCACCAAATACCAAATACTTATACCTTCTAAAATAGCCACCAAATAAGCTACCACACCTTCATAGTGTGTTATCGATCAACATACATTTCTCCTTGCTGTGCACCTTTCAATTCTTACATAGTTGGGAGCATTAAGTCTCTAGTCTTCAAACGTCAACAGCTGCAAATCAGTTTCTACTTTTTGCCTGCCTACCTAAAATGGTTGTCTTATGGTTCGAAGGAATTCGATTAAATTATTTCGTGCTCTTTTTGTGTTACATAATTTTCTATAAAAAGTGAAAAAGGCAGTGAAGGAGCCGTCGCCCACTGATCTTACGGCAATCACTGAATGCGTACCGATCGTTCATCGATCATTTATCGACTTGCTAACCGACTTCTTCCAGACAGACTCGGAAGCTTTGCCTTCGGTACAAGGCCCCAGCAGTGAAACACTCGATCAGTGGACGACCTTCCCCGACTATCAGTCGCCGAATACACTCCGACGTATTTCCGACTATTTACTACTCAAAATGATTAAACAGATCATTGCCGAGTTGACATCATGAACGGATCTGTGCAAGTGGTCTCGTGCAACTCATAGAGAGCGTGTTTCACTAGACTACATTACATGCATCTTCTACTTTCTCTGTTTTGCTTGTAACCTTTGTTCCTCCTCGTGTTTGTTCGTGATGTCATCGAGTCTCTTCGTCCAGTTCTCGTAAAATTCCTGAACCTCTTGCATCAGGGCATCCATCATGTCCAGGTTTCTTTTGGCCATTTCGTAACCAGGCCCACCGAGCAGCTCAAGCTCATCTGCAGCACAAAAAAGCTTGTCAGTTATTTTGAATATGCAAGATACGATAGAACGAAACCTTATGGCAACGTTTGCCACGTACGTTGCAAAAGTGTAAAGCAACCCTTCGTACATCATACTCACGATGAAGCTGATGTAGAGTGCCATTGACTTGAATTACAATTTTTTTGACTGTACCCTTGTAAGAATGGATGGAGATGCACTGGATTGCAGGGAATGGTCACTAATCCACTTTTGTCTTAGCAAGACTCCTTACGTTCACTATGGTTGTCTCTACACAACAAACGGCTACTATCGGTGGTAACCAGATAAAACTCGAAATTTCACCAGTGATTTTATGTAACATACACTAGGCTGGTAAGCAAATAAAGTAGAAAAAAGACGAGATGATGATGACTTATTTTTCAAAGCAACAAGTCCTTACCCATTTCTGCCTTTTTCTTCCAGCGCCTCATATAGCCGTAATCCCAGGTAATGCCACAAGCCGCGGAAAACAATAGCAGTCCAAGACAGGTGAAGACTGCCTTTCGAAACAAGGGTGAGCTGGCGTCAAATAGACCAGAAGACCGCTCCACTGCTGCACTCTCTGACGGTTCCTTTGGAAATAGACAGGAAGGCTCCTTAGATTTTACTTCTCCTCTCACTGAATTAACAGCTATGCTACATCATTTTTCGTAATTCAGCCGATGCCTTTGATAAAATATTTACATAAACATCCACTATTACATGGCTAGATTCGCAATTAAGCTATAAACAAGACGACTACAGAGTAAGATGATCTTAAACATAAAATGGCCCGAAAAAATATTGAAAGATGTACAGAAACTCGAAACAAACTCAACGCAGACGAGAAGCCACTTTTATCCATTCCCATTCCTTCTATGAGACGCGCCTGTAGTTGTATTCATCAAAACAAACATCTAGTCCAAGATGATGAATACAACTGCCATGATTCCCTGCAGGCGCAATTTAAAGAGGAAATGGGTCATTTTGTACCTGGAGAGCTTACTCCACACTCTGCCATCAAAGATGTGTATCAAAACTAAATTTGGACCGTCCTCATTTGAGGGAGTTAAAACCTTCAGATTGATACATAACGTGCAGATCACTCACCTTCATGGGTTGGGTGTTTTGCTTTACAGTCTCAAAGATGGCTGCTTGGTTTGATAGGAAGTAGTCCTCGAAGCAGGTTTGGAAATCTTTTCCTGCCAGCCGGTCGTCTTTACCGAATACGATGCCGTAGTACGAGTTGTGGTCGATGATTTTATTTACACGTAGCTCTTCGCTGGAAAAATCTCTCATTTCTCCAGCAACGTACGTGTCGACTAGCACTCCCTTCAAGCCGTCCTCTCGATTCTTTAGAGGCTCCACGATAGATTGTAAGTCGTGATATGCTGTGAAAATAATATTACCTGTACTTATTATAAACATAAGTCATCTATGTGGAGTTATTTATATTTTACACGTTAACTGTTCCCCCTAAAGGATGACAAAATTCAAAAAAGGCGGGACAAACAGAATCAAACCCCTAAAGGAGACCACTTGGTCGACCCCAAAAGGATATCAATTAAACCAAAATAACAGCTTTGTTTTCAGTTTCTTCGGGTGCACCCTAAAAGAAACTTGGGCGGGCAAAACTAGTTGGGTTTTATCTTGAACACCCTAAAGGAGACCAATGATTTACACCCCTAAGCGAGATGACGAGCATATCCGACCGTTTCACATGGGAGTTCCTCAGCTCAGATTTAACTTCTTGCCCTTTTGCTCTGTCAACACAAACCTTTCATATCCGCGTTTTTGTTCAGTCCTAACCGGTACTCAGTAGAATTAGCCACTGCTGCAATCTGAAACAACAGAAATAGCGTCCAGGAATAAATTTAAGGTTAATTTACAGCTAAATAAATTACCCAAACATCTCCTAAAATATTATGTTGTCGAAACATTTGCTTGCATAGCATAAATGAAGGGCTCCTGGGTGGAGGGGGCAGCATGTTCCCTTGATCCCTTGAAAACTTTACTTTTTCACCCTTGCTCCCCAAAATTCTTGGCCATAGTTCACTTTGATAGTAGACATTCCTTGTTCCGTCAACTTAATCCCAAAAATATCCATTGTTCCCTTGAAATAAATGCTCCTGTTTCCCAAAACGTCTCGGAGGCCCTCAGTGCCACATGAAAGTACTGCTCGATGACTTTCACATGAATGGTCACTCTAGTGTTTAATCCACTGACATACACAACATAAACGTTCCACGAATATGTACAAGAATACTTTGCTCAAAGATGTTTGTCCAGCAGGTCTCAGTTGCTCAAATTATCGATAACACTATCTACTAAATAAATCAATATCCAATGGAAAGCATAGTGTGCTTTGCCACTTACTGGATAGCGGTTCAGTACCCGGTGGAATCTTTAACCAGGCTTACAACAAATGGGCCCAGCTTACAACTAAATTACGAGCGAGACTGGAACCCACCTTAGTGCCATACAGTTTGACGTCAGTGCTCAGTGTAATGGCTGTTAAGGATGTAGTCACAACACCAGTGAAAATAGACGTGATAACGAGGCCAACCAGAACCCAGGCTATGGCAAAGATACGAGCCACAAATCCCCTGGGAGATCGATCGCCATAGCTGTAACAAAACAAGACATTAATGGAGTTGTTAAATCAAGACAATCATTCCTGGTCTTTGACTAAATTTTGAGGAGTTCGAGGAACCGTAAGCCCTTGACTGAACATTCCTGATCACTGTTCAAGGTGTTTGCTGAGATGGAAGGGACAAAAAAGCATTTGCCCAGATATCATGATGTACGGATTACGCTAATTTCTACACTTTATATTGAAAACCATTGGTATATTCCTTTCCAATCGTATCTGCTGTAGTTTTTAAATGACCGTTTATAGGATTATTAACCTAATCGATAGTGACAAACAACGATAGAATTGGCATCTGTATGAAGTTTAACCGATAGCTGAGAATTACGGTGCCCCCATGGGCCACCGTATACAGCTGAGAAATAGACCGACATTGTATCTGGCTGCTGGGACTAAATGTAAAACTAGAGAACCGTCGTTTCCAGTCTTTATGGAAGAGCATGAAATTACCATAAGACAAACGAAAAATTCCTCTGAGGAAATTTAGCTCTTCACATACTACTATGATAAGACAGCACTCACCCTACGGTTGTCATGGTAACAAAAGCCCACCAGAAACCCTCTCCGCTGCCCTTGATAAACGACCTCGGAAACTCTTCTGGGTTATACCATGTGTCCTTAACAGAACAGAAAGCGAAAATAAAATTGTATCACTGTAGGCCCAAACCTCCTTACAAAGTGATTATAAATGCTCAAGATATTCTTAGTGGGACGTGGATTTAACCATGGGAAACCAAAGTCGATTTATTTTTTTCGCTTTTGTCATTTTGTTTTGTTTATTTCGGGGATACCAGCTCGTGTTAGCTATTCTAAATTCGAACAACTTTCGTTTTATGAATGTATGTAAAGTGAGTTTCCAGAGTCTAGTAGACATAAAGGAAAATAGTCAAGAAACTGAAGTAAAAGAAAAGTTGCAAAAAACGAAAATTGTAAAAGAAATGTGCTTTTAGTCGGCACGAACTTTTAGCTGTAAGGTAAAGTGTTCATGACAGGAAAAAACAACTGGGAAATCATTGGCGCTGAATACTTGGAAAATTTTCCAATTTTTCTAAACAGGAGTAGAACTGGTCATTGAACTTCTAATTTGTGTAAATTACAAAAGTAACAAACATCTATTAACTGCCAGGATTGTTTTCGCGAAAGAGTGAACTGTGTACTGAATGGTAGGTTATGATTTATGCTTGGTATCTAGAGCACAATATGGAATCTCTGGGTTAAGCCTGGGCCCGAGTTCTCCGCTCTTTTGAGCCAGATCATCATTGCTACCTACGGCATGAAAACTGCGGCCTAGGTTAAATCCCCGCGAATGGGGACGGGGTAGAATCGTACTTACCAATCCCCACATAATTATCCCGGACAGTAAAGCCATCAGAAGCGTGAGAAGAAGCACAGGCCAACCAGACAGGACAGAGTTGAACACAGCGTTGGCTGAAGTACCAGGTGGCTCATCAACAACAATGAAAGCGACACCAGGAGAGCTTACAAGAGGCATAAACTTGTATTCATTCTGATACAAGCGATCATCCTTCTTACCACTGATCGGAAACGTTATCATATCAGATTTACCGAGGTTCTCGATTTTCTTGATGTTTACCAAGTTTTCCTGTTTGTATGATGCGTAGGAGATAGAAGACGGCCCGTCACCCCCAGAGCAGTTTCCACAGCACAGGGGAACAATTTCTTTGAGCAGTAATGGGAACAATCCCGCGGGTTCTCGGCCGGGTCCGTTATCTTTGATGTATGGTGGAATGTCGTACCAATTGGCTTTGATTATCTTCGGGCATTTGCACTTCTCTGAAATTCAAACAAAATTTGAGCAGAGATTAAGCCATTTTTCTAGTACCTGTCTTCTTATATAGAGGGTGTGCTTGTTTGAGAAAACCTAAAGCCTGTATTTGAAGGTAGCAGCATATCCCCAGTTTATTCGGCAACAGAATAAATTTAACTAACCAAAGAGAGGGAAAAGGGGAAGATTTGATTTAAAATAATCCTTGTTTACCTTTGACGTGTAAATACACTAATGCATCATGTTCTCCTTCCGTGTTATTCGCGTAACATCGATAAAAGCCAGTGTCATTTCTCCTGAGGTTCTTAATCTTTAGTGTCCCGTCGTGATTGTCGATCATGCGTCTCTCACGGGTGTCGAGTGGCCTGTCGGGATTTGACTCGTTTAACCCCCGGTAGGACCAGTAGACCAACGCCTCTGGAGAAGCTGAAACCTGGCACGTTATGACTTCAGTGTCGGTTTCCGTAAGCTCTTTTCTCGTGGAGCAATTGTTTTCACCAACGGGACAGAATGAGATTATCTCAGGTGCCTCTAAAATAAACCACGACAGAAAAAGTTGTTGGTCTGTTGTAACATGCAAATGATACATGAAAAGAGATGGATGGATAAATGACTGGAAGAAAAAGGACAGATGGACAGATGGATGAATGGATGAAGGGAAAGTGGAATGAGGGATGAAGAAAGGAAAGGGAGCAAAGAGAAATGGGAGATGGAGGGAGGGATGGGTAGGAGTGGGAGGGAAAGAGAAAGGGGAAAGGGACGGATGGAGAAAGAGAGGAGGGAGGAATGGATGTAGATGGATGGATGAATAGATGAATGGATAAATGGATGAAGGGAAAGTGGAATGAGGGATGAAGAGAGGAAAGGAAGCAAAGAGAAATGGGAGATGGAGGGATAGAGGGAGGGAGGGATGGGTAGGAGGAGGGAGGGAAAGAGAAAGGGGAAATGGAGAAAGAGAGGAGGGATGGATGGATGGATGGACGTAGATGGACGGATGAATGGACGAATGGACGAATGGACAAATGTACGCATGGACGAATGGACGAATGGACGAATGGACGAATGGACGAATGGACGAATGGACGAATGGACGAATGGACGAATGGACGAATGGACGAATGGACGAATGGATGAATGGATGAATGGACGGAAGGAGGGAGGGAGGGAGGAGGGATGCAGAGAGAGAAAGAGGGATAGAGGAGGGGGCAGGGACGGAGGGAGGGGGAAGGAGGGGAAGGGAGGGTTGGATAGATGGTCGAATACTCAATAGCAATATATTTTGAACTCACTTGGAACAGGAATGATCTCGAAGGTGGCGTTGAATCCTCTTCCTGTTATGGAGTCATCAGATCTGAACACAACTCGAGCCGTTTGGCAGCGCGTTTGGACGGTAAATGACGTCATATTACCGCAATATCCCTCGATGTTATCTCCCGATCCGATGTTCTCAGACCATGTCTTCGACTTGTTACACTTGTCTGACACCGTTACGAAATCATACGGTGAACAAGTCTTGCTAAATTCCAAGTCAAAGTCGTGAAATGTAATGCTTATTTTGGCGCTATAACTACCTTTAATGATCCAGCTGAATACAGATAAAGGAAGAAAAGAGTAAACGCGACATTAGAAGCGATTTGAAAGCAACTTTTTCAGATTTTTATTGTTTTCAGGACTTGCAAGTCGTACATCCACGTCGAAAAATGTTGTATTTTTTTTTTTTTTCATTTAGTGTCAAGCATTCAAGGACTCTTCAATAAAAGGACTGCTAGGAACAATCCAACACCCTTTCCAGGGGAAACCCCAAATTCATCTTCAATGATTTGGCAATTTTCAAAGAATTTCCAAGGCCTGCGCGAAACCTTCTTCGTAATTTTGAATGTCACAAGAGGAAACGTTTTATTACGACTTTCTTGTCGTTTAATAAATCTCAATGTCAAACCTTTATTTCATTTTACCTGCAATTTGTGTTATTAGGATAACCTTCGTATCCACCTGGACTTGTGAAGTTTCCTTTATCGCCAGATAATAGGAAGTCTTGTTCACAGTCTAGCAAATTAAGATCAATTGTAGTCGATTAGTTACTTTTAACTAACAAAAGCAGAGAAATGTCTCAAATAATATCTGTTTTAAAATCTACTTTCTATAGAGCAGTTCCTGGGAGCACACTGTAAGAGGGCGAAAAAGTGTTGTCCAAGTCTGTGCTGCAAAATTGGGATAAACAAGAGAAATCTGATCGTTCAGTTTTAAATGATGATCAAAGTTGCTTGCTATGGCTTATTCCTATTGGAAATCAGAAATGGGATTATTTCTGAAACTGTCTCAAGTAAGTTCTATGTAATTTCCCAGATCGAGGCGGACCATAAGAATTTAAACAACATTCGCAAAGCGATGCGTCTACTTGCAATCTATAAAATACTTATGCCGATCTTAGCACGCCGGTAGTTTATTTAACGAACAGAAGGTGGACTGGATGGAGGATAGTTTTGTTTTCAAAAATTACCCAAAAGTGTATTAAATAGTTTGCCTGGCTCCGACATCCATCTTTAGTGAGCTCGCTTGCCGTGTCGCCACGTGTTGCTGGGAATGCCCAACATCGGTAAAGGGTTGTGACAAAGCAAACTTCGTAAAATCATACAATCGAATTTGAAGCATACATCTGAGACCCAAAAAATTCTGACGGCTGGTTCCCAGTAAGATAAACAACGGAAGTGGCCACTATTTGAAGGAGGTTTCAATCAAAGGCAGTTTTTCTATTTTATAATTTCGCTTATTCAAAAACCCTCAACTTCTTCCTAACAAAATAAAGACAAGTGCCTTTGAAAAACATTGTTTTCTTAAATATCACGGCTAGTTCGGGTAGTAAAATGTTTTAATAACTGAAATTGTAAAAAACTTAAACCAAATTATCGAGTTTTGTCAGGAAAAACCCAAGATAGAAGGCCACTTTTCGCTCAGTTGTTCAACAAGAGAGCTTTAATAAACCAATGTTCAAAGCGCCGAACATCTTCTTGCATTTTATATCTGTCTTTCACCTGCTCTGTTTTTCCGCCAATCACGAAACCGCAGAGACAAACGCATTGTCGCTTATAACGGGCTTTTCAATGGGTTGTTATGAACAATGAGAGAAAATAATTTACGTATGTCGCATGTTTCTCGATAATTCTCGCTCTAAATTACTCTCCCGCACTTCATTTGATGTCCGATGCAATAATTCATCTCCATAACAGAAACCCAATTTATAGCCACAATAGATTTTTACAAGCTTTAAATCATACCAAATGAAAAAGTTTCGTCTTACCGCTGTATAAAAAGGCTAAATTAATATTGATGTTGCTACAAAAAACTTTGAAAATCCACGATCGGTTATTGCAGACAAAACATTCCCATATACCCAAAAAATATATGTATTCCACCGTGTTCTAAAAGCGACAAGAAACCACATCAGAACATTTTCTATTATATTACGAGGGACTTAGCAGCGAGGATGATTGCAATTCACTCCACTTTAAATTGTAAAACATCCAGTAATATACTTCTCTTCTCAATAATTTTTGACTTCTTTACCTCTTTGAAAAGAACCGAACGGTTGTGCATAAGGAACATTTTTCGATACCTTATTACGTACCTAGTGCTTTAATATTGCGAATAATATCGCTCGACGATGCAAGCCGATAATTTTTAATATTTTTTTTCGCAATGCATTTTGCGCGAATTTCGTTGTGGTGATAAACCTCGGTAAACCCCTCAACAAAGACTATGGTATTTTTAAATAATCACAGAAAATTTCGCAATATGCACAGCGTATTTCAAAGAATTATAACATCGGGAACTTCGGCATACTAAAAATCCTCGCAAATTAGAATCAAGGACATCCAGGTGTTCGTTATTTCGCTCCCGCAAAATAACAAACTAAAGCTTTTATATTACTGCTATAGTAACATTACCTTTCTTCGTTTGAAAATAGTGTGCGGCTTCTACACTTAACAAAATCGCCAGTAGTAGTTTCAATAGCTGAAAAAGATCACACGTTTCGTTAGCCTGTCGGTTTGACAGCGGTGTTTCGTCAACCCATTGGCATACAGCGTTTGAAGTGAAACACTGAAAACCTGCAAGCGCTTACCAGAACGATTTTCATTCCAGCTCCAAATTGGCTTCGACACAGCATCCTTATCGTTGTAGATAACGGCTTGGAACAGGGAAATCTATTTACCGCAGCTACCAAAACAACACAGTATTAAAGACTTCACTAGATTCCAGCGTTAGTTTGTATTTTCGCTCTCGACTCCAGAAAACTCTTTCAAAATGTAAATTTCCTGCCCATAAATAATTGACCACTTCCCGACAGCAAGTCATTTTCGTTGACCAATCACGATGCTCTGAAATTAAACAGCAAATAAAACGTCGACGAGTTTGCTCCGAATTTGAATAAACCGTTGTCAAGGAAGCTACAAGGCTTGTGTGAGAAAGCAGTCGCCTCAAGTCATGCACAAACAAGCGGTCTGCACGTTTTACAGTTGACTTTCAACATTTTTAAACTCTCAGTACCTCGCATTCGCTTGTAAGCGAAAACGCTCTTAGAAGAAAATCGAGAGCGATAAGCAAACGGAAGATCCATCATGTGAGGTCTCGAATAAGTTTAAGAAAAATTTAAGACTTATAAACTTAAGGTAAAACGAAAATTTCCAATTGCTGTGGTTAAGAAAGGGGAGAAAAAAAACAAAAAAACAAAAAAAAAAACAACTTAAAAAAAGAGACAGCTTTAAATAAAACCAAAAGAAAAATATGGTTAAAATTGAGAAAAGACAAACTCAAAAATTACATTTCTATGCAGATAACTCCACCTTAACCTGCCAGTTTTGCAAAATAATGATATCTTCGTGTGTACGACGGTTTCTTGATTTTAGAGCTGTCTTTGGAATATTTCTATCTTTGTAAATGTTAGCGCTATTGTAATATTTAGATTAGTACATAATATTTCTCAATTGTTTAATTTTTTATTTTGTTTTAGTCGAGTGCTTTTTAACATGAACCTCTAGCTCGGGAGATTGTGCAAACACTCTCCACGTTTTTCGATTTTAGATAAAGTTACCAAGCTCTGTCAGAAGCACAAATCATTAAGACAGGTAAACCGAACATTTAATTTCCGGTCACTGTGTTAAGGAAAGATGTTAATTAAAAAGACAAAAAAAGAAAAAAACAGCTTCAAAAGAAATAAGAGACAGCTTCAAATAAAACCGATGGCAAAAATATAGTTGAAAGTTAGCAGGGAAAAACTAAAACAAAAAATGCATTTCTATGCAGATAGCTGACAATAGCCCACCTGTTTTGCGAGATAATCATATCTATAAAGTCACGTACACTCTTACAAGTACCCCGGCAGAAATGAATATGATACTTATTGCCTAGGAGAGGGGCAGCCGACCTGTATTGTTAAAAACTTAAAAAGTCGGATGTAATTATCGTTATAGCTGGTGGATACCGGTTATACGTTCATCTAATAACTTTTAATCAGTTTTCCTCGTTGAGAAAAAATAAAATAATACACTAACTGCACGGCAAAGGCGGGTACAATGCTTATCTCACAAGTATTTACTCTTCTTTATTGTATGGCAAGGCAGTCCTGAGGTAACTCAGGGCGTTGTGATTGGTTCTTTCTTGGTCGCTATTTTGTCGTACGTTGCCATACAATAAACCGCGGAATATTGGCCCTAGGTTGTTTTTGTCACGTGCATTTCGTCCCGAGGGCGGGGCAACATTCCCCGGTACGGCCTTCGTCCTCGGTTGATAAGAGGCAGGAGCCATAATCGGGGACGGAGACCGTAAGTCTTGGGATCCGCGCGCACCTATGATATGGGACAATTTTTCTATTTTTAGAACAAATTGCGC